AGCCTCTAGCTTCAACTTATTTTTGTAGTAACGTTTCTCCAAATTGTTTGGAGTCCTTTTGTTCTACTTGCTCAGAAACATCTGTCTTAAGTCCTTGTTTCAAAGTACTAAATTGCAGGAAGGAATCTCAAAAGTTTTTTTTTTCAATGTTATTTCCCTGTAAGCAATTGCTGTCACTGTTGTGTGACCCTATGTAAAAAAATAAAACTCCATTAAAAAACTTAAAAACCATAGAACCAGTTATTTATTAAAATATGTTACATGGATTTGAAGAAACTATAAATCACTTTTTTTTTTTTTTTAATTCTGCTGAAATATTTACTGATTCCTTCTTTTACGTGTATTTTAGAAATGCTTCAGGAATCTTAGTGTACTTGCATCAGTAGAACAAGCACCTTCAGGGCACTAATCTCTTCTTCAGATAGTTTCCTCAGTTCCTTCTGATTAACTTTTAAGATTTATATTCTTTCACCAGAAATAGGTGGCAAACTTCTCAGATCCTTGATAGAAATCTGAAGTGCTGTCATAGTTTACAGCAGTCATTAAGGGGGAAAGGGCTGTCTCTTTAAGCTACACAAATCACAAGAGATGGTTTCCCTCATTCATCCTGCCAAAAGTTCATTAATTAAAAAATCCTGAAGTTCATAGCACAATCACTATTCTTCCTTCCTCTTTCATGGGGACTGAAGACAGAATATGGCCTAAAATTAGCTCTTTCAAAAGGAGAAATACTAACTTAAAGAGAGACCATGTAGACAAGTTCCGATTTAAATCCAAATCCTACTTTTAAAATTCAAGTGGTTAAATTCACCCATGATACTGTGAGGCGTTCACTGCAACACATAGTAACCACCATATACCTCAATAGCATTTTTGTAATCCCATAAAAATCTGAATTTTGTCTTTGTTATTTTAATGTAGGTAGCTCAGTCACCTATAAAGCGATTACATTTACAGCCAACTTATAATGAGTACCAGCAGCCTGACACAGTGGAAACATTTATATGGTATCTGACAGATAAAAGAGCAAATCCTATTCCTTTTCATTCCAGGTGGTATTCTCAGCTCTACCTAGAAGCCTTATCAAATAGATGTCTTTTATGGCATGCCTTGAAGCTACTTTGTACAAAGAGGGGGTGGAAGGAGGAGGAAATTCCAGACCTGAAGCACGTGCCACCTTTTCAGATTAAAATTCCTCAAATTAAAATTCCTGTCAGTACAGCAAAATCATGGCCAGAAGTTACTTATCAAAAGTTCTGCTCACTATCCACCCTGCAGACAAGCTCCATTAACCCTAAAACTAGTGACATCATAAGCTAAAAACCCTTGATATCAAAGATCACCACTGTAAAATATGAATTGGCCAGCATAATTTCTGTAGGAATTCTTCTTTTTTCCTGCCAAACTGATAACACTGAATGTGTTTAGTGCCTTTGAATGGCAAAATTTACATTTTACAGTTCAGTCACTGCTGCTGCATGTTTAGGTGCATATTAGGCAGAGTACTGTAACAAGTATTGCGAGCTCCTCCAGAGCCACTGCTTGAGGAAGAAGAGTTAAGAAGAACTCAAAGTTTGAGGATCGTTGTTCACTACCAACCTGCTGGTGACAGACCAACAGTCACCAACAGCTGCGGTGTCAGTATGATTCTTGCAAAGTCCTCAAGTCAACTGATCTACTTGGCCTGTTTCTCTTTTAACTCCTGCTGAGTAGCAACTACACTGTCATTCCTGTAATGGTTCCTGCCAACCGCATAGTAGGACTCCCACTGGAGCCATAATTTCTGCTTGTATCAGAGAGTAAAGCCCTTTTCAGCATGAATTATAAACTTATTATAAAAGTAGATGTTAAAAAAGCCTAATTAAGTACTGGAAATGGGAGCAAAGCCAATGAAAGTAGGGGGAAATATGTAGAACCTTTGGTTGTTAGATTTACTTAAAAGCATTTTTATGATTAAATGTGAAATTTGCAGATTCTTCAAGAAGCCCTACTTCCATTTGCATTAATGGCAAAACTAATTCTCTTTTAGAACTGAAGTTCTGAGGCATGCATTTTTGGTAATTTTGTGTGTCTTAGGAACATGGGCTTCAATTATATATACAATAATGAAATATGTAATATTGTAACTTCTACAGTCCCTCTTCAAGGCATAAACCTAAGCAAATCACATAATAGAAATCTCCACGAAAACATGAAAAGTATCTTGCATATATACTAAATACATACACAATAAATATATCCCACTTGCTTAGTGCTAGAGCAAGAGAGGAAACCACTGGTTCCAGAGATGCACTTTTGGCCACAGTTTCCCTTTTCTGGAGCACATCAGCTACTTGGTAAAATATAATGTATTGGTAAAATATAATATATTAATAAAAATGAAAAATAAGTACTCTGGGCTGCTTCCTGGCAGTCTGTATCGACTGGGGTATTTATTTAATAATTAATCATCTCCTGAATGAAATACTTTCACATGTATTTAGCAATGTCTCTGGATGCCTTACATATGCACCACACATTGGTACAAAATGAAAACAGTGGACTGAGACACTCTAATTTTAGGAAAATGCAAACAACAGCAGGATTACATTTTCTTAACTATTTAATTTTCCAAGGAGAAAATAAGATAACTTGACAAGCAGTTTCAAGGATGGAAATGCTTTTAAGCTGCAATAGTAAAAGACTAAGTGAAGGGTTCAAACTTCTATGTCAATACAGAACTCCAAATTTGGTTTAAGAATATGACTGAAATCGCAATAAAAATACAGTATCTGTACTTCACATAGGAAACACTTATAATCCCCAAAGTTAGGAGTCCGTATAAAGGAAAAGAGTGATTCCAATGATCAGAACCTGTGATGCTGGTGCCATGAGCAGGAAGAACATTAAAATGGAATTGATACTCCCTCCCCTCTTTTGTATGTTCTACAGTTAGCATCCTATTATATAGAGTTGAACTATCTGAATTGACAGTTCCTAGTCCACGGACACAGACTGGGCCCATTCACCTAGCTCAGAGGCAGTGCTGTGCAGTTTTCCTGAGACAGGGAGCACAGCAGGGCATGCACTATGCACTCCAAACATCTGCTAGATCAAGTAGGGTTAGAGCTGACCTGGAGGTAATAATACCACCAGATCCAGGGCAGCTCTCTGCTGAGACACCCGGTTAGCTATTCGCCACATTCCATCAACACATCCCTGACACCTAGGTACCCCAATTAGCCCCCGTGTTGCATGTTCCATGTTTTAATACCCTGAATGGAAAATGTGTATTTTCTAGAGCAGTCTTTTCCTTCCCATAAGCCTAGGTCTCCTGGATACTCTAATAAATGGATTTTGATCATAATTTACTACATTACCAACTACAAATTGGCCTTACATATTACAGTTTCTCACATCAATCCCTTCTACGAAGACATTAGTACAGACAAATGGCTCAGGAGGTAATCCGTTCACACTGGGAAACAAATTATCCCATAACAATATCCGCAGAGCAAAGCTGTTACAATGTAAATATCTACTGTGCAATGCAAGTACTTAGAAAAAATAAGAATCTTGCTGAATCAAGACTTACATTATTATCATGTTCCTTGAAAGTACCATTTTATTATAAAAATTCAACAGATCTCACTCTAGATCTCTAACATCTACATACTTACAGAATTTTATATCTAAGTAGCACCGTTAACCTAAATGGGATTACAAGAATGTGTTTGCTTATTATTTTGAATAGGACTACGAAGGATTAGGGCTACCAATAGCTTATTTACAGAAATGTAACTGCTCAGGCAGTCATAAAGCAAATTTTCTTAATAGAAACATTTTACAAGATAAACAGTTGATATAAGATGAGAACTTCATAACAAATCGCCATTTAAAAAGTAACTGAGTCTTTTTCCTTTGAATAAACTGTGCTTACTGCTCACATGTTAACCTTTTATTCTAGAACACTGAGCATAAGAGCTGGTTATTTTGCAAACATGAGGTATCAGTTTTGATGTATAAACATCATGGTGACTAACAAAACAGAACATCTCAAAATTCTTGGTTTTATGAGAGCTTCAACAGAAGGATTCCTATTTTCCTAACAGCTACAGATGTTAGGGACACCAAATGTTTCTGGTGGAAAAAGGAGAGCAGGTTAAGGACAAGACCTTTCCTGTTACAGTAAATGTGTCAAAATAGAGGCCTGTTACCAAATAAAATACTTTTAAGCCTACACTTCCCCAGAATTCCATAATGACTAATTCCCACTGAACAGAGAAAAGGGCAGAAGGACCATCAGTGCTTAGAAAAAAACATTAGGATGACATCATTGCCTGTCTGCTAGCCAGGAAAGGAAGAGAGGGATTATCTGAATAGTGAACATCTGGATTGTGTATATAAAGGCAATGAAGGATTTTTTATACATATTAGTTCACTGAGTTCCACTGAATTTTTATCTTACAAAGAAACAGTAGTGCTACGATATACTTTTATAATAAAAAAAGCAACAGGAATTCCAGTGGTCTGGGTTAGTGTATTAAAAGATACACAAACAGATTTATCATTCACTGCTCCTTCAGTATATTTAATTGAAAAAAAAAAATTGGCAGATGCTTGAACTTATAACTCTTTCTTTTCAAGTTACAACAATGTAGTTTGGTAATGCTGGTTTTCTTTTTTTTTGTTAGTGTTTCAGATACAAAGATTGTAAGTGACATGATTCTGATCACACTGAAGTTCAAAACATACTCAGTTCCCCATCCCAGTACTGTAAAGACTGCTTACAAAAAATCTTACATCTGAAGTGCTTCAATTTGTTAAGAATACAACTCAAACCAAATTTATATTTTTGCTTTTTTTTTTTTTTACAACACAGCACAGAGTTCCTGCACAAGTAGTAACTCTACTAGTTATGTATAGACTCAACTAGTCTGCTATAGCAACTCTATAAAGTTGCCGTGCAAAAAAATCAACTTTATTCTAGGTTAGAGTACTATGTAAAGAAACATTCTTACCTTGAACCGTTAGAGTTGCTGATGCTTCAGCTTTTCCAACCATATTTTCTGCAACACAAGTATATGAGCCCATGTCTCCTGCCATAACTTTCCGGATTTTCAAGGTGTGATCATCACGGATTTCATATCTTTAAATACACATAGTAATAAACAATGAATAGGAGTAATAGAACTTTGTATAATTTCTGTAAAGGGTAAAAATATGGTGGGTTTGCTCTCAAATATTTTTATTCCTACATTTCCTTAGAAATAAAAATATGTACAAATCCTTATAAATTGATAATATAAAAATAAAGTTCTAAAAGCAAAATATATATAAATATTTGAAAACCTTATTCTGATTTCATTTGCAATGTGAATCCAGTTTTACTGACGTCAGTAGAATTTCACTGGCATAATACAACAGTAAAGCTCTAATGCAAAACATTTTAATTGTTAGAACTCTTTTAACAAGTAAATGTAATAACAGTTATTATTCTCCCTATAATTTTTCCATCTGAATGAAGGATTTTTTTTATATAGTTGAAAAGAAAATATTACTCTCAAGAAGATCAGAATTGCTTGAAAGTTAAGATAAATCACAATTCATTCAATAATTTTTTTTAAAGAACAATGTAGCCTTTTACCATTTCCTCTCCTTTCATCACCTTTTTTCTCCTCTTTGTATAATGCAGTCAATGTGTTTCTCTTTATGGGAAGTAGATTTTTCTCTTGAAAATGCTATAGTTTTGATTAAAGTTATACACTAGATTAACAGGGAGCTGGATTTGGATGACTGGAGCCAACTGTTACATGGTTTCTTTTTTCAATCCCCTCCCCTAATAGGTTTTTAACTGATGATTGGGAATTCAAGGTAAATAAATAAATTGTTTATCTATCACAGAATGTATTTCTTTTCAATAAGGTGTTTTTTTTTTTTGCCTGAAATAGAGCAATGACAGGGGAAAGAAAAAGTTAATTAAAAACTTAGTAACAAAACCATGTATAACCAATGTAGCTTTTGACATTACCAGACTACATTTTATATCAATTGCAATTCCAATATATGCTTCTTGATGTTGCAATCTAATTTACTATTTGTTATATATTCTCCAAAACTTTTAGTAATTACAAAAAACTCCTCAGGTGAAGAATTAATCTGTATCAGATATTACTCACTGAACTTATTTTTTGTTGTATGTCATGTGTTGTCACAAAAAAAAGCTTGACAACAAGCTGTTCTTAAGTTTCAATATAAATTACAAGTTTTATAAATTACAATTGCTCAATGGGAATTAGAAATGTCTTATTAGATCAGCCAGGCCTTCTCCATTCAAGAAAAAGAAATATTAGCTGTCAAATGTTGAATGGCTACATCATATACCAAGCTGGATATCATAAAAAAGGTAACTCCATGTACTGCACCTTGCTTTTGGTAATTCCCCATCATCTTTCCTCCATCTTACTGTAGGGACTGGGTCACCTCTTGCCTCACATTTAAACTCTGCACTATCATCCACAGTTACAGCCAAATTACTTGGTCTCTTCACAAAAGACGGTCTCTCTAAAAGGAAAGGAAAGGAAAAAAGGGGTTAAGTCCAGCAGTTCTGTGCCCGAATTGTGATCTTCCCTGAACTGTGGCTGTTAGAGCAAGGGGAGCAGGGTGACGAATCTGATGGAGGTGCCTCTGCTGCCGCTCCTCTCGCTCCCAGCCCCAGGCGAAGATCCCTGCAGGTGGCCAGCACTGGGAACCTCAGGACAGGAGGCAGATGCTCTCAACAGTGGGTCAGGATCCCAGCACAGACGTCCTTACTTCTTATGTATCGTCATCACAGCTAATACAGCTAAAGGAAAACACAACCTACACAGAAAATCTAAATACACATCAATCCTCAGATAGAAGCAGGCCTGCTACAAGGACCCAGACAAATGACCACCCATCTGCTGCACTGCTTCAAAAAGACAGAAGGCACAAACCAAACACTGTCTCACTGGAGGTTTTGACTCAATGGTGCCTCTAAATTCGAAGACCAAGTAAGGTCCAGTATAGTGTCTCTATGAGGTTGCTTGCAGGTGTCAGCATTTCCAATGCTACATCAGAATGACAACATTTGCTTTCACAAGCACACATGAAATAAAACAAGCCAAAACCCCCTAAAATGTCCTCTCTAATTTTTGTTCACAAAAATTGCTGTTATCCCTGACTTACATTGTAGGACATGGATGACCAAAGTGCTGGCTGACCAGAGTCAGATTAATTGCTGCATACAGGCTTTCTGCAAGAACAAAATGGGATCTCAGTATAGGCTGTGCTATTCTGGCAACCTAGCTACTAGCTGGAAATTTCAGGAAAGGGATCGACACACTTTTCTACCTGTAGCAGGGTTCAAAGTTTTACGGTGCTGGGTTATTCATAGTTCTGTAGTTCCACACCAGGCTGGAGTGCAGCGAGGTTCGCACATGCACAAGGAAGAAAAATGTTTTTAACAATTTGTGGGATACTCCAGGAAGGACTTCCTATCTAGAAAGGCAGCACCAGATGACAACAGGATGTCCATAAAAGAACAGGGAAGGTTTAACAGGAGACTGCTTGGCAGGTTCCCTTGCCTAAGGCAGATGACCTTTTTGCCTATAAATCTGTGAAATCTCTGAGGGAGTTGAGAAGGCAGTTGTGTGTTTTGACTTGTATATATTAAAGATATAAATATAATCTCCCTGGAACTGGAAGAGTCTGAAGCCATTGGCACAATCAGGAAGTGTGAATACCCCAAAATATGCCACAAATTTCTCATAGGAGTACAAAAGCACCAGACAGAAGGATAAAGAGACAATCCCATACTCTTAGTGTCTCACGTTTGTGTTTGAAAAAGGTAGTTCTGAGTATTACTTTGACTTTGCAGATAAAGATGTAGAGATTCAGTATTATAAAACCTTAGCGAATGGCTCAAAAATGACTGAAGTGGAAATGTGAACTGAACAAAACCCTATAAAAGAGCTTCTTTTATTCTCAAGGATGTCCCGACCAACTGGACACTTGCAGAAAACTTACCTTTGCTTGCAATGCTAGGCAAATAATGTTAGGTGAAATAGCAAGTAGATCTTTAAGCTGCCAGTTCTAGCCTGGGTTCATATACAAGAAGTGAGGCATGAACCAGAGACCTACAGAGACCTAGACATGAATCTAGCTGTGAATTAAAAAAATACAGACATTCCCCCTACCCTGGCCCTTTCTTGTAGGTGCAGTAAAAATGCAATCTGAATACCAGAAAAGAACATTCTGGATTCAACTTCAGAGTACGAATAGTTTGGGGAAGAATATTCAACTTAATTATGCAAGAGAAAAAGAACTGATCTGGTAAGGCCAGGACTGCTGCACAGCAGCAAAGCCCACAAGAGGCACATTGTTCTCTAGATCCCTTTCCTAAAAGAAGAGTAATAGTCCGATGGTTTTTGTCTGCCCATTCATAACACTCTTATTCAAACGCATAAATGGATAATGGAAATCAGCACTGATTTAAGTATCTATCTTTGTCACACAATCATTTGGTAAATAGAAGGAAAGCTTAGCAAGGATCACTTTGAAACTTTCTAATATTACAGTTGCTGGCATGCAATCCTCCCTCTGATCTAAAGCAGAGACCTAAAAGCAAAAGTTCAACTTCTGAATAACCAAAACCCATAAACAGAAGATCTATGTTGAAAGAGTTTAATATATGAAGTCAGCATGTCTCTCATACTTTTTCATGCATATCTAAGGCCTGAGTTTAAAGAATAAGGTGTCTTAAAGATTTCTAGACACAGACTGATAAGACATTCAAAGTTTTACTGTCCTGTTTGAAAACAAAACCTCACTAGTTTTCCCAGGCTGAAAATTAGAAATATGTTTGAAGGGAAAACGAGATGGAGAAGGTGGCAGACAGACCTCTCTCTGCAATGCATCCCTCTTACAGGTGTTCAGCAAGAGTAATATTTTCCAGCCTGGATTATGTAACAGTCCATACCATGATTCCCTGGTTAGTAGTAGACTAGTGATGAGCAATTAACTGGTACAGTTAACTAGAAGCCCAGTGTCAGGACTTTACCCATGTAACTATGACTTTCTTTCAATTCTAGATTTTGCTTGGAAGTTCTAAAAGTCTATTTGACAGTAAACTTCCTCCCAAAGTGCTTCAAAGGTGTCTATACATTAAAAAAAACCCAACAACAAAACAGCACAGTGGATCATAGGAAGTCTTCTTTCACTTCTAAAAAGTTACACACTATCTTGCTAGGTATTCAGTTTCAACAACTTTAAGATGGCATACAATCTCATTTTATTACGGAAAACCCTGCTTCAAATAAAACTCTGAACAGGACTTCAAGTTTCCTGAGTCCTAACTCTAAAAAGTAGTGAAGACAGATAAAAGTGCCAAAGACTGACAAGACAGATCTTAAACCTGAATTTAAAAAAAAAAAAAAAAAAAAAAAAGGATAAAAAGCAAGAGCCAGGACTACTGCAGCAGCACTGTGATGGAAACCAGTGTGTTATGAACCACGGCTTGGATATTCTCATCCTGTGATGATAAAATACCTATTCCTTCTGCAGAAACAATTAAGCTATCTCAAGCCTCCCCTACTTTAAAGTAACATGGGACACATTCTGAATGAAAACTACCAAAACTGCATCTACAGTGATCACAAGGCAATTCTCCTATGCCGAAGGTATTCTGAGATTGCACTTGGAGTTACAGCTTCTTTTCTGCAACAGCAACAAAAAATGAGATTTTCGGCTGAGCTCAGTTATCTTCAATGAAAACGTGTTTTCTGATGCTCAGAGGAACTACCATTAGAATCACTTGAACAAGTAGACCTGTTATCTTTACAACACTCAGTACACACAACTATAAATGAAAGGATAATTCTGTAGAGTAGAAATTTAGAATAATTCTGATTTTCTTCAACGAGAGGGAAAAATTAAGCCTCTGCTTCTTAGTGATGTTAATTTTTGGTTTGCTATTATTTCACAATACTGATCCTGTCAGTGGACACTGGAATTATTTTCAATTCAAGAACTAAGAAAGTGTCTTCCGATAGCAAAAACAGAACTGCAAAGCCATTAACTGCCACCCATTTGGTAGAACACAACCTTGACAAAAAAATTTTCAACATAAACAGTGACAAGGAAATAGACGAGAATGATCCTTAATAAAAGGCTTACTAGGAAAAACAAAAGTTGGACATTTTCATTAACACAGTCTTAAAGGAGGAGTTCTTACCTAAAACAGTGAGCTCCGCAACTTCACTTTCACGTTCTCCAACCATATTTGTTCCAACACAAACATATTTGCCAGCATCATTCTTTCTTGTGTATGTGATCATAAGCTTCCCTCCTCTGATCTAGGACAAATCAAGGATAATAAAAAATACTTTAATATGAACTAACGATTTAATAATATTTATTAACTTGAAAAAGGATTTGTTACAGGTAATGAAAAAAACAAGGTATCAGTGGTTTTCCAAATCATACAAAAAAGTGAAAAAAAAAATACTATTAACCTAGTTTCCTTCTCTTATGTGAAAAGCTTGCTGTTTAGTTTTACATCAGTATTTTAAAATCTCTCAGATTTGGACCCCTATTACTCTTTTCTTCATTCTGTGTAATTTAGTACTGGCTGCTTGTTGGCCAGAAGGACTACAGTTCCTTCCTATGTACTACTGCAGTTCGATACAGTCAGGTGGAGAGGAAAAATTAGAAGTAGACATAAATCCCATTTTCATACCAAGTGCTGCAATTACATTTTCTTGACAAGAAATATGTATACGTTATCCTACCATTGGTCATGCTTGTTATTATTCGTGAATTTCGTGTTTGTTTTGGTTTTCATTTCTAAAGGAAGCAAAGGAAATGTTTTATTCTTTAGTTCTTCACCTTTAAATAAGTAATTTTAAAAGCTGATAAGCAGCTGGGCAGAAGCAATTAAATTCTTACTGGGAAATGAGTAACATTCTGCTCTTAATTCTGAATTCAGTTTTTGGAACATAATGGAATTCCAATAAGCCCAAAACTAGAAAACATACTTCCCCTTTATGATTCCAAATATTTTTTTAATAGCTATTAAATGCATATGAAAATATCTGATCTCCCTTTAAAAGTATTTATTCTCCCGTTTGATTGACAAAATGGTTGAACAAATTTCAAAGTTCACCACAATACAGCAAAATTTGTGTAGGCAACTGAATACATACCATGTTTACTTTAATACACAAAAATGTTACTTAATTACATTAATTACATTTTTAAGTGAACATATGCTTGTAAGTCTAATCACATATGAAAACCTCTGCAGTTCAAGGCATGGGTGGAAGTAAACAATAAATAAAAGCCACATATGAAGCTACATGGACGGGTCTAATGTGGTCAGTGACAAGGAGGAGAGCGTTCTCAATATGAGGTATTTTGCTCAAGTTGCCTGCAGCTAGAAATCTATCCCTGAAAATTTGACATCTTGAGCAGCGCTGGGCTCTTATTATCGTTGTAAGATGTACACACACAAAGATGACAGTCAGTTATTGAGATAAATGAACATGCACATGTAACGTAGATAGTGTTGCATACAAATTTCACTCTGTTGCCTTTGGCACTTGTTGTTTGAGAACCGAAAAGATATGTCCTTTATCATCCAGAAATCTAGTAATGCTAAAATTTCAATGGGGATATGAGGCATGAAGAATGAAAAAATAAAGGTGGCCTGCAAATACACATTTTTCAAGAATCCATGTGCATTTTTAGATGGCTGACCTCCTGAAATGGTAAGCATGAGACAAGAAACTAACATAAAACTAAAAGTCTATCTATATTTATTCCTTTTTACACCTCCCTTAATCACAGAAAGCTATTTATTTCCAATTAATCTATGCAAAGGATTTTAAAAAAGAATTTTAGAAAGAATTTCACATGTAATTTGGGGTATTTGTAAATCCATATATAGATGAAGAAATACATACTTTTCACGTATATCAATATTAAATGAACTGGATTTAACAAAGAAATGTATTTACATATCACAAGAATTTACCAACTCAGCTGATGATTTCAAACCCATGTAAACTGAAAGCAGTGATTTTCATACATGTCTTAAGAGCTTAAGTCCTACTGTCAATCAGTGGCACTTGCATTCGTCTGTGATTTTGGCACTTAAGAAAGTCCCATTCAAACTCAGTACGATATGACACAATTGCATATTTTGCACAAATTGTAACCTCCAGCAAGAACTATGCTAGGAGCTTCTTCTAGGAATCACCATAAGACTCTTTTCAAAGCATAGATGGAGAGAAGCATTAAAGCAGAAACATTTGAACAACTAAAAAATTATTGAAAGCTGCTTTTCTTCCAAGTTATTTGAGATTTACGTAAGGAAGGAGAGGAAGAGGAAACGTTCCCTCATGGACGTTGAGGCAGACTTCCAAAGACGTGATATGCCTACTGAAGGAAGCTGTGCTTCCAAGAAGGAATTCTGAATGCATTTGGTATATTTTTCCTAAGGGTTTTCCTTTGTTGATCTTTTTTGTTTGTTTGTTTTCCTTAAAACAGAAGAATGGTTTAGAACTGTAGCTACAATGATGGCTATGCCACATTAAATTGTAATGAATTACACAGTTATGATAAAATGTACCACAAGCGCATGTGGAATTACATATGTCTGTAACTAGAGCATTCACAGATGGCTAGAAGAAAGCATACTTCCACTGTTGGGTCACTACCCAAGTTTTCCATTAAATTTTAACAATTAGGTACCCACCATCTCAGTAAGATTGATCAAGCCCTTCTCTTCATTAACAAGACATTGCAAATCAGATCTGTAGCTATGACACATTTACATTCTGTATGTGCAATGTTTCCCACATTTTCTCTCAATAGGAAATACTAGAAATACCTAAGGGCCATAGACCAATGGCTTTAACTAACAAAGTACACAATGAAACACATGCATGTGAACTTTTGTAGGAACACATAAATAATCACTGCTACATTTCTTTGTCTTACGAAGTTGATATCCCGTAATCCAGTACTGTAGTTCATATCCAGTACTTAGAACAGTAAAGAGCCAAATCACCTTTGGGAGCAGTATCTGAAATCATGCAAATTAGAACTATTCACAGTCTGTGGAAATTCAACAGTTAATCAAGGTGTTTTAATTTGAGTGCTTTGGCTCTTGTATTTGTGCCCCTGCCCCAGAATACACCAGCTGGACTTTATAGTAGCGAATGATATAATGGTTTGAAAAAGTGACAGGCAGGGTAACATTTCATCTCAAACCTCCAGAAGAGCTGTTACCATACTGAACACAAAGGGAAGTCCTTTCCTCCTAGTAAACAAGATATACCAAACAGTTTTATTGCACTACTCTGGTAGATACTGCACATCATGGGAAAAGAATTGCTCTGCTAACTGTCAAAGCTTTAAGTCCAGTTTTGAAAAGATGGAAGTAAGTATCATGTTTCATTTATACAGAAATGATGCCGAGGCACTTTTTGACTTTTCACGCCTCTTCAGGATTTTGTTCTGTTCTGTGCCTATCAGCAAATTTATCAGGGCTGTGCAAGTAGAGAATACAGGAATAGTACTGAATACAGATGAGAGAAAAAGATTGTGATCAGTGGTACACAGATGATCTTGAGTTTCCTGTAACACATATGGATTGTTGTATGTACGTTAAGAGAATATATGACAGCATGGTGACTTACAAAGACTTATTGAAAGCAATTTTCTATGACCTGTGTGCCTTACTATATTTTGCTCCTTGTGAGTAAATTGTTCATTCAAGCAAATCCCCTTCATTTATTTCTTGAAACAATAGTTGGAGATGTTCATACAGAAAACTCTAGGCACCCACAGAGTTAACTAGGTCCAGAATTGTAAATTATGGCCACCCAGCAGCAAAAAATCATATACAAATAATGAATCAACTTGGTCAGCCAATAAATCAAATCCATAAAAACTTACCCAAGGGTTCTACAACATACCACCAAGTATTCAGTATAGCTGTACACATATATATATTTATCCTAAGACCATATTTTATATACCTATGCATGTTGTGAGCGTGTAAATTTCTGTACGTATAAATCCATACCCATCTGTCTGTGTTAAGAAATATTCTTACATATGTGGGTGATTCTTTTACTTTTCACAGAAATATGCTATGTTACATGAGAAAGAATGAAGCCATGAGAGAAATGCTTGGGAAGTCCAAATAGGAAGGTGACTGGCATTTCTATTTTACTTTCTTTTAGTTTCTAGTTTCATTCTATTTATTAAACAAAACCTGGCCTGTTGCAAAATAATTCTAAAGCAAACTTAAATCCATAAGAAAATCAAATTCAGACTGCAGAGTGAAATACTGAGCTCTGTTTGTATAGCCAGAGTTGCTTCATATGCAATATCACAAATTTCACGTATTTCAGTCTTCTATGGTACAGCATACATAATATCACATTTCATTTAAATGAAATGTGACAGGCATGTGATAGTAACATGTCAGACATGGTCTTTGCTTTAAAAGCGTACCACCTAATTGTAAATGACAATGAAACAGTTAACAAACAAGGTGAATACAGGCAACTGTAATTAATAGCGTCACCAATGGTAGATACAAGTGAAATGGAGCTTTTATTTCTTAGGAAACAGAGTTTGCTCATTTCCCTCTATGCGGTCTAGCATCCCAAGACAGGTTAGTATATCCACATTATGACTTATCATTGCAGAATAGACTATAAGGCACGGAATGTCAGCAATAGAAGACAACTTTGCAGTTTTAACGAAGTTGAGTAAAAAGAGAGTATAAAGCAATACCTATCTTAATTTTTTATTTAAAAAAGTGTATCTTGTTCCAAGCCTTGTGTATCCCATGTATTCTTCCCTACTGATTATAGCATGCTTAAATATCAGACACTAGACATCAAAATGTGTTTGGAATAGGTCTTCAACAATGATTAAAGTTTGTTCTTGTTCAACTTCAAAGTTCAGACAGAGGAGTCTGTCCTGCTTTTGGTTCCATTCTCTGGGACCCCAGGAAGGTACGTGCTGCCTCCTCCAGATCAAACACACAAAAAATTCTATTTGAAAGAAGTTTAAAACATACTTTCAAGTGGTCTTCCTGTGCCATAAATCCCTCACGACAAAGTGCAAGTCAATTGTTCCCCCCTACCATACAGACCAACAAAACAGTCTTGCAATGATGAGAGGCCTGAAGGTAGAGTCTGTAAAGGATGGTGCAAAATGCATAGGAAGATAGCTTTACTTAAAAAGAAAGAGTATTTGAGGTAGATAAAATGACAATAGATTCAAGCTGCTGCTTCTGGCACCCCTGCCAGTCTGGCCAGGATACATCAGAGTC